AGGGGCAAGGACGCCACATGATAGTCAAGTTTTTAGTTGTGGAGGAGCTATCCGCCTACAACATGATATTTGGCCGTCCTACCCTCAACGCATCTAAGGCTGTCATCATCCCGTCCCTCATGTTGGTCAAATTTCAAAAGGATGATGGTACAGTCGGTGCCCTAAGCGGGGACCAGAAGACGGCAAGAGAGTGTTATCTCTCTGACGTCAAGACAACTATGGGTGCAGCCGGCCAGGGCGAGCCCATAGATATTGATAACTGCGACCCAGCAGTCCCGGCTCCAAGGGCAGCCGGTATGAAAAGAAAGGCGGACCAACTGGCACCCGTCAAAAAGGAGAAATAGCAATCACTAGCCGGGGAAAGGTCAGATGACCAACGACCTCAGCCGGCTGGTGACTGCCTTGATGTCATCCTAGATGACAGCCGTCCTGAAAGAACAGTAAAGGTCGGGACGGTAGCCTTCGAACGGTTGGGAGAAGGCTTGCTCCAGCTGCTGAAGGAATTCAAAGACATCTTTGCCTTTGAAGTGGAAGAGATGCCAGGCGTCAGCCCGGATCTTGCTGTCCACAAGCTAGCCGTAGATCCCAAAAAGCAGTCGGTTAGGCAGAAAAAGAGGGATCATGGTGGAGAAAGATCTCAAGCGGCAGCGGCTGAGGTCAAAAAGCTGTTGGATGCTGGGTTCATTAGGCAATGCTACTACCCGGATTGGGTGGCAAATGTCGTTCTAGTAAAGAAGCCGAACGGTACTTGGCGGATGTGTGTGGATTACACAGATCTGAACAAAGCATGCCCAAAAGATAGCTACCCGCTTCCAAAGATTGACAGCCTAGTCGACTCAACAGCCGGCCATGCGTTAATGAGCTTTATGGATGCTTATTCCGGCTTCCATCAAATACCTCTCTGGAAGAAAGATCAGGAGAAGACGACTTTTGTCACTGATCAGGGGTTATTCTGCTATACGGTGATGTCGTTTGGGTTGAAAAATGCACCGGCTACATTCCAGCGGATGATAAACACCGTTTTTATCAACCAGATTGGCAGGAATGTAGAGGCGTATATCGATGACATGATAGTCAAATCCAAGCTATAGACGGATCACCTAGCAGACCTGCGAGAAACCTTCACCACACTCAGGCGGCACCGGGTCATGCTTAACCCAAAGAAATGCGTATTTGGTGTTGAGTCTGGGAAGTTTCTTGGATTCTTGATTGACCAAAGAGGCATCGAAGCTAATCCGGAAAAAATACAGGCGGTAATTGACATGAAGTCTCCCCGCACTGTAAAAGAGGTCCAGAAGTTGACCGGTTGTCTGGCGGCATTGGGGAGGTTCCTCAGCCGGTCAGGTGACAAGTGCCTCTATTTCTTCCAGGCAATCAGGAAGAGGTCAAGATTTGAATGGGGTGAAGAAGCAGAGGCGGCATTCCAGAGGCTTAAGCAGCACTTGCATTCTTTGCCAAGGCTAGTGAGCCCCCTACCCCGGGAGGTTCTGTACATGTACCTAGCCGTCTCTGATCACGCCCTTAGTGCCGTTCTCCTCGCTGAGAGAGACGGCATTCAGCTGCCGGTGTACTTCATCAGCCATGTCTTTAAAAATGCTGAGCTCCGGTACCCCATGATCGAAAAATTTGGGTTGGCCTTATTCGTAGCAGTCAAGCGGTTGAAGCCTTATTTTTTGGCACATCCGGTTGTGGTATACACAGATCAGCCGCTCAAGCGTACGATGACTGCTATAGAGTCATCCGGTAGAATGATCAAGTGGGCTGTTGAAATACAAGGCCTTGAGATAACTTTTGAACCCAGGCGGGCAGTGAAAGGTCAGGCGTTTGCCGACTTTATTGTCGAGATGACTAGGCCGGTGCACCCGGAAAACCCTGATCAGGTCTGGAAGTTATTTGTAGACGGCAGCTCTACGGTGAACGGCTGTGGTGCAGGTGTTATCTGTCATTCCCCGGAAGGGGATAAGTTTGAATATGCACTACGGTTTAAGTTCCAAGCCTCCAACAATGAGGCAGAGTATGAAGCCCTGCTAGCCGGATTGCGCATGTGTAAGGCAGCCGGTGCAAGAAAGGTCGACGCCTGCTCAGATTCACAGCTGATCGTTAGCCAATACCTTGGTGACTACGAAGCCACCCATCCGGCTATGATCAAATATTTGCAGGCGGTCAAAGAGGAGGCTGGGTCCTTCGATGAATTTCATCTGCGATAGGTGCCCCGGTCTGAAAACAATCAGGCGGATGCCCTCTCAAAGTTGGCATCATCAGCCTCCGGTGATGCTCCTAGGAAGGTCTTTTGGGAAGTCATTGAAAAACGAAGTATTCAGAATGATCCCATTGGAGTCTTGGACAGAACTGCTACCTGGATGGATCCCATCCGGTCCTTTTTGACGGATGGTACCTTGCCGGATGACCCTTCAGAAGCATCAGCGCTCAAGAAGCGTGCTTCAAGTTTTGTTATGCATCAAGGGGAACTCCTCCGGAAGGGATACCTGCAGCCGTTTTTGAAATGTGTAACCCCGGATAGGGGGAGAGAATTTTTGGAAGATCTGCACGCGGGGTTTTGTGCCTCGCATATTGGCGGCAGGTCCCTGGCCAGAAGAACCAGACGGCAAGGGTACTTCTGGCCCACTCTTGAAGCGGATGCCATGGATCTAGTAAAGAGATGCGACAAGTGCCAAAAATTCGCTAAGTTGATACATCAACCGGCAACAGAACTCACGGCAATCCATAGTCCGGTTCCGTTTGCTAAATGGGGCATGGACATTTTGGGACCTTATACGCCTGCATCAGGCGGCCGCCGCTACATTCTTGTAGCAGTAGACTACTTCACCAAATGGGTTGAGGCAGAGGCGGTAAAAGGGATTAAAACGAAAGACGTGATTTCTTTCATCTGGAGAAACGTCATCACCCGGTTCGGGGTTCCAATGTCCATGGTTTTCGACAACGGACCGCAGTTCGAAACGCCTGTCCTGAAGACCTGGTTGGGAGACCAAGGAATTTCCCATTGTTTTGCATCCGTTGGCCGTCCTCAGGCAAACGGTCAAGTTGAGGCTTTTAACAAGTTGATCTCAGACGGGATAAAGAAGAAAGTAGAAAGAGCCGGTGGACTATGGGCGGAGGAATTACCTCATGTCCTTTGGGCTATCCGGACAACCGAAAAGGGGGCAACCGGTGAGACCCCATTTCTCATGACATACGGCACTGAAGCAGTTCTTCCCATTGAACATTATGAGCCTACTCTACGCATTATGTTATATGACGAGGAGGCTAACTGGGAAGCCATGCGGTTGGCATTAGACGCTCTTCCAGAGCGAAGGGGGAATGCTGCCTTGCGTCATGAGATCTACCGTCTGCGTATGGCTAGAGCCTACAACAAGCGGGTTCGTAAAAGACCTTTGAAAGAAGGAGATTTTGTGCTTCGCAAAATGGAGGCAACCGGTAGGGCCAATGAACAAGGCAAATTAACCCCAAATTGGGAGGGACCCTACCGGATCTTTGAAGAAGTACGAGACGGCACTTACCGCCTGGAAACTCCAGACGGAAGAAAGTTGCCTAGAACTTGGAATGTAGATAACCTCAAAAAATACTACTTCTAAGTATTGTACATCTTTTGAAAATTTTCAAATGATTAATGAGAATTACATTCAATTTTGTATACAGCCGCCATGTCTTGTGCCTACCACAAGCGGCACCAATAACTAATTTTTTCATCCGGTAACACCCATACGGGTGAATTCATCGAAGAGAACATCTCCCATTTGGGTGGTAAATTGTTCTAAGCGATCACACAGGCGGACAAATCCGCCTGACGATCCTTCGCACCAAAAAAGGGCAGGCTAGCAACCCCAAACTTGCAGCCGGCTCACTTTTTGGAAGGACAGCCGGTACTCAATACCGCCGCCTGACTCTCTAAGAGCAGGCCTAAAAACATTTGGTCTAGGCCATAATTCATTCAGGGGTATGCTTGCAAAAGCCCAACCGGTGAATGGACATCCTAATCTGGCGTGATTCTTTTGCGAAGTCCCGACCGGTAATTCAGTATAAACCGACTGGCTCCCGAATCTAATGTTGGCACTTAGTGTATATTCGAGCTATATCATATGGATAGTCGCCTGGCTTGCAAAGACCCAGACCGCTATCCAGGGGCAATTACCCAGACGCCATCCGGTTTGGTTTTGGGTCGAAATTTCTTCGCCTAGTTTGCGAAGACCCAGACGGCAGTGTGACCGGTGGGGTCTTCTTGGAAACCCTAGTAAATTTCTTCGCCTAGTTTGCGAAGACCCAGACAGCAGTGTTACCGGTGGGGTCTTCTTGGCAACCCTAGTAAATTTCTTCTCCTAGTTTGCGAAGACCCAGACGGCAGTGTTCCCGGTGGGGTCTTCTTGGCAACCCTAGTAAATTTCTTCGCCTAGTTTGCGAAGACCCAGACGGCAGTGTTACCGGTGGGGTCTTCTTGGCAACCCTTGCAAATTTCTTCGCCTAGTTTGCGAAGACCCAGACGGCAGCGTTACCGGTGGGGTCTTCTTGGCAACCCTTGCAAATTTCTTCGCCTAGTTTGCGAAGACCCAGACGGCAGTGTTCCCGGTGGGGTCTTCTTGGCAACCCTAGTAAATTTCTTCGCCTAGTTTGCGAAGACCCAGACGGCAGTGTTACCGGTGGGGTCTTCTTGGAAACCCTTGCAAATTTCTTCGCCTAGTTTGCGAAGACCCAGACGGCAGTGTTACCGGTGGGGTCCTCTTGGCAACCTTTGCAAATTTCTTTGCTGTTTGCGAAGACCCAAGCGGTAGTGTTACCGGCGGGGTTCTTTTGGTTATCCTCGCAGAAATATGTATAAAAAAAATAACAAGAATTCTAGTATTGAAGTGCAGAAACATAAAAAGCATTCAAAAGCCGGCTCAGCCGGTGAAAATGTTAATATTCAAAATAAAAATTATTACAGCTTAGCCCACCTCATCCGGTGCTATTACAAGATAATGCAAGGCGCGCAGGCCGGGAAGTAGTTGCTACTCCAGGCGAAGAGTGAACCGGTCCTCTTCCGGTTGGTTCTGGGTTGGATCAGGGTGAGCGGCTGCGTCGGCTTCAGGAACAACTTCTTCCTCTTCAGCAGCCTCCGTCTGCCGTCGCGCAATCTCCTCCCTAACCCAAGCGTCATAAGGTCCGGGCCCCGGCTCATTCGCCTCCTCGGCCAGAATGGCAAGATCAGAATATTTGAAGGCGAGTTCCCAGACGGTGAAGTCCGCCTCCGGGTGGATGAGGGAAAACGCCCGTTGCATCCGGTTTGCACAGTCATGCGCATTCTCTTCAATGAGCCTCTCCTGCTCCGACTCCAAGGTGGCCTTGAAGTTCTCATTGGCAGCAGCCGCCTCTTTGCGCAGGCGCTCATTCTCTTTGGCAAGGCGGCCATTTTCAGTCTCCGCCTTGCTCAGCCGTTGGAGGGGCTCTTTCTGTTCCTCCAACTTTTTATTGGCATCATCCAGGGACGCCTGCAGTTGGTCAACTTGGTTTTTCAGCTGATCAATCTGCTGTTGGAGGGCCTTGGTCTTCTCCGCCTGTTCCATGCGTATAGATTTAGATTCTAAGCCATGCATGTACAAAGAGTAGTCAGCAACATTATGGGCGTCATCAACGGCCCGTTTGCTTCTCCTTACCTCTTCAGACTTGCGGGTATAAGCTCGTTTGAGCCCCTCTACGCGCAGCATAGCCTGCAAAAATACAGCCGGTTAATACTGCATATTTAAAAATGCACGTCAAGAAAATTACCGCATGGTTGTTGGAGCATACGTCGGCCAGGTCGACCAGCACCCGGTCGGCATTAAAGGAGTTGATCCCAGGGATCGCCTCCTTCTCGTCCCTGGGGACGGCTTTCAGCATGGCCCGGGCATATTGTGCCCCGTCCGGCCAGCGGGGAGAATTATCTGCACCAGAAACAGACGGTGAGAAACTCGCATATGCTCTGCCTATAGATAGCCGGCTGATTGGAGAATCCCCCGGCTGCGATCGAGACTGTGAATAAGACTTGACCCGCATGGGCAGGTCAAGCAGTGTAAGGTCGAAGTTACCTTGGCGGCCCGAACGGCCTTCAGAGGGACCGGTTGCGGCCCTCAATGGGATGGCAGAAAGCACATCCGCAGATCCAGGCCCGCCTGGGACCTTTATTGATTTGCCGCCGGTAGTTTGCCGGTCGGCTGTCTTCTGCACCTTGGATGCAGACTCTTGTTGGGTCGGCGGAGGCCTGACCTGTTTTTGAAGGGATCGGGGCATCTGCTTCCCGTCCTGTAAACGAGAAAAATATAAGTTATGGGATAAAAGGATTGAAATAAACGAGAAGGATCAGACGGTTATACCTTCCTCGCCGCCTGGGCAGCAAGTTTTTTCTCGAGATTGGCTTTCCGGATGTCGGCAGCCAACCTAGCCGGTGTCTTCTCGGTGGGCAGCATTTTCTTGGCTTCTTCTGCAGAGGAAGGCACACGGTTAGAATAATAAATAAGCAAGGAAATAAAAGCATCCGGTTCGAAAGAAACCGGCTGAGTTCCGAATACATACGTTTTTTAAACATGCTGCTTAGACCACAAGCGGACAAGAAGCATTCGTCCCTAAAAAATTCATGTTTGGGCACCCAGTTTCTAGGTACCCTTACTATCTCTCCGGATGAGAGGGTGTCAGGAACTAACTCAAAAAACCCGGAGTCAAGGATGGTCTCTCTATCATCCTCCGGGACAGGGGGCAGGCAGCACTTGGTCCCCAAGAGTTCTGGTTTCCGGTTGTAGATCCGGAATTCTCTGTTCTCTACCGTAGTTGGGGCCTTAACCAAGTAGAACCGGTGCTTCCAGTCCGACCATTTGGATGGCTTGTCCAAGGTCATAAGGTATTTGGGCTGGGTGGTCAAGGTATACCAGGCTCTCCAGCCGCCTGGGCTCCTACTCAAGTAATGCATGTGGGCAAACGCCTCCCAGCCGGGGTTGAGGCCCTGCATCTCGCAGGCGGCGATATACCCTAAAATATTTACCCATGAGTTGGGGGTTAATTGCCAGAGACCTAGGCCATACCCCCTAAGTATGGCTTTTATTGTGTCGTGGAGAGGGAAGCGGACTCCGGCCACGAAGGCCGCCTCGTAGCACCTGAACCAAGCGTTCGCGTTCGGTTGTCCATCCTCCCACCATATTGTTCCCAGAGCAGCCGGGATTTTTATTGTATAGTCACCCCCCAACGGCCGCCGTTTGATAAAATCTGGCAGCGCAGCCCGCATGAGCTCGCGGTCCTTAGAGGAGACGGCGATCATGAGAGGATCGTTCCTATTATCCCAAGAAGGCCTCTCCGCCTCCTCGCTATCCTCAGATTCGGTTAAGTAGCTGCTACTGCTACTTTGAACGTGACCGGCATCAGAGCCGGCTGGGGAGTTGGAGACCTCCTTATCAGAGCCTACCTGCTCTCTGGTCTCCTGGAGGGGAGCAGTCTCTTCGTTTAAAATGCTATCACCCGGGGTGCTAGGAGCGCCCCCGGGTGAGCCTCTCTGCTCTACCTCTCCTTGCTCTACTTCACCGCCTGAAGCTGGGACCTCAGGCGGCTGCTCATCTGAGCTCCCACTTCTGTAGTTGGGATCTCTGGCAGTAGACTGGATTCTGGCCATTGTGTCCTGCACAGACACAGAGTCGGTCGATATGGGTGTTGAAAAAGGGTTGTCCCAAAGAATAGAGGCGGCAGACCCAGTTCTAGACTCAGCCGTACTAATAAACCGGCTGAGTTCACAGCTAGGTTCCGGGTATGGGTATAAGGGGTCCATCTACTTATGGGACCAATGAACAAAAATACGAGTAAAAGACTCAAACGGAAATACATGAAAAAGCTAGAAAGAATAGAGACGGTACCTAGAAGAAAATCTGGAAATTCTTTGGGATGCTTGCGAAGACGCAGGCGGTTCAAAATCCGGCTGGGTTTCTCTGATTACCCTCTCGAAAACCTTTGGCTAGCTTGCAACGACCCAGAAGGTCTGTAGACCGGTTGCTCTCAACGAATCTCAGCTCCGAATGCTCTCAACTCTCAAATTGCCGGCTGCTCTCAAATTTTCAGAAATTTGGCAAAGTTTGTAAATGAGAGCTCGGGGGACATCTTCTCCTATTTATAGAATTTGTCCCAGAAGGTGAAAAGTCGTGACTCTTCGCCTTCTGCTTTTCCATCCTTCAAAAAGAATCTGAAGAGTTGAAAAAAAAAAAAAAAAAAACCTTTCACCGGCGCCACGTGGCACCCTGCCACGTCAGCACCAGTGAGGGGCAAATGTTTGGGGTAAAAATACCCTAAACACGTGGCCCAATGGCCTAGTGACACGTGGCATCCAGCCGTTGGTCAGCAGGGCTCCAATCCTCTGCTGACACGTGTCCTCTAAACCCTAAAAGGGAAACCATCCCTTCCCCACTATAAATAGTGGAAGGACCCTCATTAATGCAGGGCTGGAACATTTGTTGTTCACATTGAATACTCCTCAAAAAGAAAAACACTTACCCCGAGCAATATTAATTGCAGAATTCTCCCATTACGCGAGAAGTAACTTCTACATTACGTGCATTCTACCTTCCGTATCTTTACTAACTTGATCGTCGGAGGCGGAGCTCCTACCCCCAGGAGTCTTCGTGATTTTGCAGGCACAGGTGTCGAAGGGCATTCTTGGAATTGTAACTCTCCCGCAGGACACATCAAAAAACCCCGAAACAAAAGATATTAATAAAAACGTATCAGTCAACAAAAGGAATATATCAGCCAACAAAAGATCTATATCAGCCAGCAAGAGGAATATATCAGCCAAAAAAAGGTACTTATCAGCCAACATAAATGAACATATCAGCCAACAAAGGAAGCATATCAGCCAACAAAAGGATGAAATCAGCAAACAAAAGCAACAGGAAAGCCAACAAAATAAACATATCAGCCAATAAAATGAAACATATAAGCCAACGATTGAAATATACATATCAGCCAACAAAATAAATATATCAGCCAACTTAAGAAACATATAAGCCAAATAACGTCTGATATCAGCCAACAAAAGTAACCTATCAAAAATTTTAAAAAATACATATCGGTCAACAAAAAGAATATATTAGCCAACAAAAAATCATATCAGCCAATAAATGAAACATATCAGCCAACACATAAAATATATCAGCCAACAAGTAAAACATATAAGCCAAGCTAGCCACACGGAAATTTGCGTGCGGACATCCTCACGCAATAGCTTTTCAATAAATAAACAAACATACAATTGCACAAGTTAGGTTTTCATCGGTTAATAATCAACAAATTACATACAAATTGGATAAACAATAATGTGTTTTGATTGGTTGGTCTTCTATTATCCCATAATAATTTATTTACAAATTTACAATTGGATTCATTACCATTATTGTTATCTAGCTATTTAATACCATGCCTGGCATGTAGAATCTGTGTTAATTTACGGTCCGCTTGACAGCTGGCAATAAATTATGGTAATGGAAATGAATTTTTAGTGAAAGTTGATATGAAATACAAAACCTTTAATATTATTCATGGGAACTCAATCAATCTCATCCCCTAAGCATGTATTTTTCTTCATATTATTACATACATTACCATTCATTACCACTTGAAAGGTGGCTGAGAATGGACATTTAATTTTGGTGGTCATCTTGAATGATCATGAGAATGAATACTAATGTTAATAACTAATATTCTCTTCAAATTTATCTATAAGTTCATTTCCATTACCAAACGAGACATTAAAGTTCTTCACAGCTCACATTATAAGTTAGCTAGATACCTTCAAAAAGACTATTAATATGAAAATCGAAGAATTGTTGTAATAATGTGGAAACATCTAAGAAATATATAATAATCCTTCTAAATCAAGAAAGTTGCACAATCTAATAACGGATCATTTAATGCAAGATTGGCTACAAGTCTACAACATACTATATTGACTTTACAATAAGGTTTTTTCTCCATTCAAAATTGCAAAAATTAATAACTCGTTGACAATTAATGGGAAATTCCATTGCTAAGCTATACAAGAAATGGTCAAGATCTCTTTGAACGCGTTAGTGTGTACGTGTATCCCTTTACTTCCAACCCAAGATCAAAAAAGTTATGTAACCGAATTATATTGTATGCAATATATGAGCTATATTAGATAATTATCTAATTATATTATAATACAAAGTATTCTCCAAATTCATATACTTCATATTTTATATGTAGTATTATATACTTGAAAAACGCAGGACATTTTTATTTTTTCTAAAAGTTGCGGTACAAGTAGATCATTGCAAGTAATGCTACTCCTTAAAATGAAAGAACAAAACAAGATTGTTTTTTTTTTTTAGTTAGTGATCTACATTTTGGCTTGACTAATGACTAGTAGAGACTATTTATGGAACTAAGATTCTATGTGGTGCAAAGGATTAAAGATGCACTACTTGTGGTTTACAAATTAATATGTAAAACTGTATGTCCAACGTTTATAAAATATCATCTTGTTTTGAATTCTCGAGCACAAAGCTAAAATTTTGAACTTAAATATCCACCTGATAATATACTCCGTATTCTATACAAGATTAGACATTCCCATGTATTTATGTAGGGCTTTGAAAAATACATATAAGGAATCTAAGAATATTGCAACCCTTTGACTACATATAAGCATTTAATACAATACACATATCAATTAGTGTACTTGTTATTTAATTTTTTTTTTTTTTTTTTTTTTGTATTTATAATTCTAAAAAAATGTATATTTTATATTTCTAAAGAGTAGTCTTAAATTCAAGTTCAATTCCAAAAGTCTTTGTTTAATTATTTATTTGTCATCCCTTTTAGTATGACATACCCTAAGTCCATCAAAACAAAAAAAATAAAATACTAATAAGCATTACTAACATAAGCCCAAAATTCAAACATAGATATATAATTTATTGGCCTAATTTCACCAATATATGAAAAATAAAGTGATTAAGTTCTAATTACTTAATTAGATGTAGAAATCAACAATTGGTATTTCTAGTTAGGAGCCTAGGAATCCAAATGATGTAACCCTATTTTGGACTTTTCTTGTGAGAAAAAGTTTAGGAGAGAGAAACAGCTAAGACTGCCAAAGTGGATGAAAAGAAAAAAACTAAACATATCCATTTCAAAAATATTATTGTAAGGGTATTTTTGTAATTTCTCTTCCTCCTCTGATCCTCCTATTTAAACTCCATTTCAAGCTGAACAGAGCAAAAAGAACCATCAAACCAAAAAACAGAGGAAAGAAAGGAAAAAAAAAAGCTGAAAAACTATAAAATTATTTTGAATTTTGACAAAAAATTCATAGTTAACTATTTTGAATATGGGAGAAGTTGTATTATTTATGGAAAATTTGGATAATAATTTTCCAAATTACTGTAGAATTTGTCATGAAGCTGAGTTTGAAAGTTGCAGAAAATTAGAAGCTCCTTGTTCTTGTTCTGGAACAGTCAAGGTAAATTTATATGTTAGTTAATCTTAATCATGTTATTAATTTAAAGTTATGATTTTTTTTTTTTTTCATTGGGTAATTTATAATTCTTGTTATTTTGAGCAGTTTGCTCACAGAGAATGCATTCAAAGATGGTGTGATGAAAAAGGAGATATTATTTGTGAAATTTGTTTACAGGTTTGTTTTATTTCCCCTGTTTTTTTCTCTCTTTCATTCTTTTTATTCATTAATTTTAAAAAATAAGAAAAATAGCACCATATTTTACTTGAAGTAGCGAATTTTGTGTTGAACAAAGTAAAAATTAGTAAGCTGCTTTCGAGCCTATATGAACGGTATAATCAATTACTCATAAATCAGCTTAATATTATGATTTTTTTTTTCAATGGAGTACAATTTTAGTTAATTTTCTGCACTTAATTTTTATTTTAGGATAGTCGAATATAAGAAAAAAAAAATTGTTTTCATAAATTGAGAATCTGTTTTCCCTCCCTAACGTTTGGCTTTGCCTTCAGTTTTAGTTGTCTTCAACTCAAAGTTTTTCCTGAACCCAGAATTTTAAAGTTCCAATCTTTTTCCTTTTTTGTTTTTATATTTCTTAATTAAATAAAAAATCTTGAATATTTAGGCAAAGGGGAAAAAAAAAAAAACATAATCTTTGACTCTTTTTTTAAGTTAAAAATTTATTGACTTTCTGGGTGTTGTACTTTTTTTCTTACAAAATTATTTATGACCCACTGTTTTATTAATTATTGGCCTATCTTATGTTTTTTATAATATGGTGGGAAATTTGAGTTTTTGATTTTAAAAAAGTGACTTTTAATTCATGCAGAAATATGAACCAGGCTACACAGCAATTCCCAAACAACCCAAGAATATTGTGGTACTTGATCAAGTTGTAAGCATCAGGTAACTTATATTCATTCCTCTTGATTATCTACACCAAACTCATCTATATTACACCTACTAACGTCTAATTTTTTTCTCCTGGGTTCAAATGTCTTCTTAGGTGTTGTTTGTTTGATATGTGAATTTTCTTTTCATGAAAATTTGTATTTCATGGGAATTAAATACCTACATCCAATTCTTAGAAATTGTCTAAACTTGTTTGGTTGGGATGAAGGAAGTTGTAAATTATGAGAACTTTGACTTACCTGGGGGGTTAGGTAATTAACTTTCCATGTTTGTTAGGAAGTCACAATTCTCATGAATTTGCAATTCCCACATTTACACTTTTTATTGTCAACCAAATAACTCATCCAATTTCCAATTCCCATTTCCACTTCCCCCATTTTCTTTGTGCAACCAAACAAAACCTCCACTTTTTATTCTTCTGTACTACGTACAATAACATTAATGTAACGCTAACCCAAAACCTCCAATAAACGAACATAGTGAATAAGTAAATATTAGATAACTAGCCGGACTCATTACAAATACCGAATATATTACTATTCCATAGGGCAAGAACTTACATCCCCGTGTGATATATAACTTCAAAAATCATAACATTAGCTAGTTTTATTTAGTGCAAGTGGTACCTCTTTTGAGTTGTTCATAATGATGTCAAGTTTTCAACGTTTTCTTTCTTCAAATTATAATAAAATTAAAACTAGAGCACGCCTATTTGTATTTTTTTTTTGTAGTGGCACACTATACAAATGAAATCAAAGTTGGTTTATTTTCCTCTCAAGGTTTTCATACTTTGTTGGCAACTTTACCGACTACTAAACTTAGGTATATTATCACTAATATTTTAGTAGTTCAATCTTAATACTTATGTCACTTCTTATGTTTTATACTTGTATTATATTATGGTTTATTTTATTATTTTTGAGTGTCACACTCATTTACTCAATGATTGAGGATTTAAAATTGTTAGTTCCCTATGTCATAAGAAACATCTAGTAACTTTTTTGTCAATCCTTTTTTAAGCTATTAACAACTTTAAATTTTGCTTCCCTTTTTTCATTTGCTTAATCATTTTGTAAGTAATAAAATAAAGTTTTTATCACTTGTTAAATGCTAAAGGTTTAAGGTTTAGACCATAAAAAGTGTAATATATTGAAGTGATCAACTTAAACTAAAGTATGTGTTGTTATTGTAGCACTGAATTATTAGACAGTACTTCGTATTACTTAAATTGATCAAATGTTCGTCGTGTAATATACTAATAGAATATTCGAAATATGACAACAGGGGAAGTTTGGAAGTTCCAAGAACAGAACAAGAATCTCAAAATTCAGACTTATTAGCCATTGCTGAATGCTCATCAGAAGCAGAAAGAAGTGCATCTTGCTGCAAAACAGTAGCCCTTATTGTGAGTAATTCATTTATTATTAACAAAATAAATTACACACCAAAAAAAAAAATTTACCTTATTTGTGCTTATAAATGTATAAGAATCTAAACTAAGGATAATGTTTATTGTTAGCTCAATTTATGTCTTAATCTTAAAGAGGGTCCACAAAATTGCACACTTTGCTGGCCCATACTTACAAAGAGCTGTTATACACGATTGAAAGTTAAATTTATAAGGAGTATATAATTTTGGAAAAAAATAAAATATATATAGAACATCATAATAGTAGCTGATTTGTTAGGTTAATGATGATCGCTAATGTCACTATCTTAATCTTATACTAAGCTAAGCATGTTAGAAGATAGACCACCCATAGCATTATTCCAGCTGGCGCTTAATCATCATTCTTTCTATTTCAAGTGTATGAGATTAGGCTAATTGATTTCTATTAGGCTCGCCGATTGTATCGGCTTTGAACACATTAAATACGTACCAAATTCGCCAATTTTCGTATTTGATTTGCATTCTTCTTTATTTAAGAGCGTTTGTGTGGACGATTTTCAGTGACGACTGATTACTTTTTCTATATGGATTTTCAGTGGATTATTAAGTGCACTTAAGAGTATGTGCTCTAAATTGAGATATGATAATTGCTGAAAAAAGATCGCAAATATAGACTTCAGTTGTTGCCCTATCACTTAAGAGATCAATAGGGTCTTCAGGTGTTGACTTGCCACACTTGCTATTTTCCAAGATTTTTTTTTTTTGAGGAAACATTAGCGGGCATTTTATTATAAATCAGAATCCGCTAAAATTACAAGATTTTGCGGGAACGGACCCATACACACAAACTCCAAACAACCACGAGTATCCCATCTTGCCACAAGATGGGCTACCGTGTTATTTCCTAAGGATTAATGTCTTAAAATCATAAAATTAGCTAAATGAACTTATGATCTTAAGAAAAAAAACAGCTTACACTAAAAAGGTTTCACAATGCTTTAATCATTCTCACTTATGATTTTCTTTTGCTTACTCTAATACTTTAATTTTTGGTCAATTTTTGCTCCCTTGTCTTTGGAATCAACAAACTAATTCATGATTTTTCTTGTAATATTGCCAGTTTGCATTCCTTTTGTTATCGAGACACATGTTTGATGTGCTACTTGGAGGAGCAGAACAACCTCCCTTCTCACTTTTAACTGTAAGAATCTCCATCTTTTCTTTAAATTTGGCATTTGATTTTAGCTAAAATTCATACTTTATAAATTACTAAATATATACATTTGACTGATAACTGATAATCTTATTGCATAATACTGCAGGTAATAATCCTACGAAGTTGTGGAGTAATTATTCCAATGTACATTATAATTCGGACAATATCAGCAGTCCAAAACAGCATTAGACGACATCGCATCCTTCATGTAATTTTCTACTTCTTTCAAGAGTTTTACTCCTTTGTCCTTTAACTTTTTTGCGATTTCCTTTTTAAATTGTCCCCGAACCTTATACACTTCTACTATTTAAAAAAACCATTTTTCCCAATACTTAATCTACTCTTTCTTTTTTCAAATTATTTATTCTACTTTTATAACTTCCAAATTAATCTTCGCCTTTAAGGGATGGATTGGATGGGGACTTTATTAGTAACATTAATGTAACTATAAGCTTGATTTATTGGTATCAATTTAACTAACAAGATTGTATTTTTTTTATTTCAGGAAAATCTTATGCAAAATACCAATGACAACAGAGATGATACATATGATGATGAGGAGCAAATTCATCTGAGATAACATGAAAACTTTACACATTTTCACAGTTGCTTACTTGTAATACACCAATGTACATCAATACTAGGAAACATGAAAAATAATTCCTCAAGGAAAATAGAAAAGAAATTAGATTTTACATTCACATTTATTAATTTATTATAGAGTTACATAATTTACTTTGTATTATTCCCCCTCATATAATCTTATAAAAATACACTTCTATCTATTTTTTACAATTACTACGAGTACATTTGACTTTTGAAATGTCCATATACTAACATTGACTTATATTTTTACTAATCCGTAATACATACTCAATACGGAGTATAAAGTTTCATTGTATCAAACCTTTATAATCAATTAATGGACAATGTTTGTGTTGTCAAATATACTACCAATAGTCAAATTGTTGCATTTTTAATCTTTCGTAGAAACTATGTTTGAAATGGAAGAAAGGTAGTTTGCTTATGGTTGTCACAAGTGCCTTGTTAGTTGAAAGCTTGTCAGAGTGCATAAACAAAATTTCAACGAACCAACCAACTGCTTTTGCTTGTTTTTAGGTAACATAGAAGATAGGCAGATGAACAGCCAAATGTTGGACCAAGTTTTATGAATATATATATCAAGAATATATAATATAATACATACTTACGAAGTATATAATAATCCTTAGTCTTATAAGCAGTTGCATCAAAGACAGATGAACAGCCAAATTTTGCAACAAACATTACTGCCATCAAAAGATTATAAATATGATACCAACACGTCTGAAGAAAAGGTGGGTGAAAATGAAGTCAAAGCATTGAATATTTGTTATATTTACCAATAATATCATAGATATATAGTAGTGAATAACCAAAGTATAAAGAAACCATCCTTAAGTGAGTGTTATTCTGAAAATCATCTAAAACGTTTTAATCGTCGTATCATTTTCACAAAACCACCGATCCCTATTATCGAGTTTTTATATTGAAAACTAACTAATAGTAAAAAATGTACCTCTTCAATGATCCCTTTATTTTGAAAATTACCAAATATAACAGCTTTTATATAGATTGATAAAATTTCAAGTAACCAAATATAACATGCTTTAATTACATTTCGATAATGAAATCAGCAAAAGGTAGTTTCCTGTGAAAGCCATAAGGAAAGGATAACAGCAAACACACATATTTCAACATAATAGCTTCCAGATTAGTCCTCATACTATGCAATTTCATCATAGTTTTATGGGTTTTGTCAAGCGCAATAATTAAACTAGCCACTTCAAAAGGAAAAAAATAGACTAATGATAGTTCAGAATATATTTGACATTGACATAGATACAATAGTCATGTACAAGATTAGAAGGATTACCTGATATACAACGCGAACACCCTATTTCTACAAGGTTAGGGGATGCACAGGATCAGAATAACTAACAAAAACCTAATCCTGGATATTAAAAGGCTTATGTGCAAGTGCTCGAATTAATAACGAGTGGCTATCTAGATTACACATAATATTAATGTTAGAGAGACGTGTACCAATTGGAGATAAGAGTGAACATATGCAAGCAAATCAATTTTGTTCCAAAAGAATCCTAGCTTGGTGCTGAAGCTGGCTGAGTGTGGCAATTCTTGAATTTGCGGAATCATCTGAAGAACTAATACCGATCAGATTTTGGAAGAATATAATGGTCTTTTCATTCCAATCCGGGACATTGTTGTTGGATCTTTCTTGGTGCCTACCATAAACAGCCTCAAAGTCTTTCGACTTGGCAGCAGCTTTAAACAGTACACCAACAGGAATTCCTGAAATTTAAGACAGATGTTCATATTCATAGGAACAGTGATTGGGAGATGATCATAAGATGCACTCCCAGCTAAAAATTTGGTGTTTCTAAAAGTGCAAGAATTTTCATAAAACTTACCAGCCAGCCGTGCAACATTAACACCATAACTTTTGGGACAAGCACCTGGAGTCAGCCTGTAAAGAAATGTGACTTCTTCCAAACCTCTATCACCTTTTCCTACTTGACATGCCATATGACATAGAGAGACCTGTAAATGAGAGAATATTTTAACTGGCAATTCGAGAGAAAAAAAATCCTAGCATAGACTCGTCTATTAGCAGCTCTCGTAATGAGCTACAGCCTACATGAACCAGTTGGAAAAACACCAAACCTCTCCAATGGAAAAAACACTTAAAATCAAGAGACTGAAATTGACCTTGGGATCTCTTTTATAGTCAATAGCTAATCGGTGGTAATGAGTAGAAAACATTCCACGACACTGCACTTTGCGGACAAAATGTTCAAGGACAGATTCCCTGTAGAGAAACGGAAAAGGCAGAATAAGCAGTTAGATCACTAGATGACCCTGCAATAGTGCACTTGATCTCAAGTAAAAAAAATGATGGTCCATAGTACAACTTCTAATAGGCAGTAAAATGAGGCAATGCTGCTAATTAGTTTGAATAAAGACACTTACGCAATTGCTTGTCCATCTGAAGTTGAAGTGCCACGTCCAAGTTCATCCAATGCCACAAGTGAATCACGGGTAGCAGATGTCTGTGTGCAACCAAGTAAAGGAGAACTGTGAGCTAAAAAAAGAGGGAGCTAAAATTTCTTCCATACATTTACACATGCTCGAGTCTTGATTAATAATCTTGAGCAGACAAAGAAGAAACTATTCAACAAAGATTTGAAATGCATACATTAGATTCTCATAGCATTGACAATGAGCTAGTAATAAGTAATAATCTATCATAACCCAAGGCAAAATTATTCTAAAAAAGTTAAACCTCTTGTTCACTAAATGCCTTAAGATGATTGACTCAAAAGGAGAAACTTTAAACAATGTGAAACAAATCTCATTGCACACTATTAATGAATTTTCCGAGGATAAAATAGTAACATGGAATAAGATCCAGAGTATCTCACCAACATAGATGCAGTTTCTGAAAGCTCTGTTAAAAATGTGCTCTGTCCTGCCATAATGTGATCTTTCGCCCCCATACGAACAAATATCCGGTCAACAAGTGATAGCTCAAAGTGTTCTGCAGGGACATTTGCTCCAACCTGCAATAAAGCCAAATGTGAGGAGAAAGAAATTGAAACAAGATAACAATTCAACATACTTGCATGAGGAGAGGTTTACTTGAGCCAAGATAACAGCCAAGCAAATTTGGCGAAGAAGAGTTGATTTTCCACCCATATTAGGACCAGTAAGCAAGATGAAGGTAGCATGATCTGAGCCACCAATATTAATGTCATTGGGTACAAACGTACCCCTGCCCAAAGAATCGCTTTTGATTATAGGATGCCCCAGACTTTTAGCTGCTAATTGAGGTACTTCATTAATATTGATCCCAGATGAAATACTTGGACGGCATGTTGGTCCTTCATAGTAATCACTTGCAATTACCAAGGTGATCAAGACATCTAGTTCTGCACGAATAGTAGTGAAAAATTAAACCATAGTTCTTAAATTGATGCCATGTACAGAATAAATTATCTGATAGACTACATTAAGGCTCTGTTTGGATTGATGGAAAACATTATTAATGTAAGTAGAATTTTCATGGATAAATAATTGTAAATTAAATTTCCTTTAGTTGGTTTCTTACAAGAAAAATTATTGAGAAATAAAATTGGAAGTGGGAGGGAGAAGATGGATAGAAGAGAAAAAGGGAGGTAAGGAGTAGAAAGAAAATTGTGATTTCCCTTAAAAAATAAAGATTAATTCAATCCTAGGGAAAACTATTTTCCACCCCTGAGAAAGCCATATTCCACCCTTTTACAAACCAAACTAAGGATATTGGGAAAAATTACATCCATGGAACATGTTTTCCACCCAACAAAACACTGTCTTAAAATTAAGATTTTAGTTGTGTAGAATATAGAGACAAGAGAGAACTACATTTGTTGGTACCATATACCTGCAACAGCAGAAACCAAGCTTCTCCACATTGTGTGATGCTCACAAAAACGTCCTACCAAATCTTGCAACATGCATTTTAATTTGGATTCCTTCACAGCTTGAAGCTGTGTCAGCTCTCCTACCATCTTCTTGATAAATGGTGTCCAGTATCTGGAGAAACCCTGTGGAAATCAGGTAAGAAACAATCAGATAAAACAATCAACTAAGTTGCATCTGTATCACACTAGAAATTTAATTACTAAATAATGTGATTGGTCTTTTCATCACTCAACTCCACCAAAACACAAGATTTAAAACTAAGAAAAAGATAATCAGTCAAGTTCCAAATTTACAACACCCACAATAAACATATTGATATTGATGCGAGTACAAGGAGGTCAAGATGTAGATAATGTTACATTAGCAGACGACATTCATAGAAAAGGGAGAGGACTATAAAAAGAAGTGAAAATAGTAGTATTTACTCTCTAATAGAATAGCAGAGTGATTGTGGAACAACATGGAGTTCAAGGATCTGACCTGTCCCACATTATTCTTGCAAGTGAAAAATAGAGAAAGAAAATCAATTATTCCACTTACTTTCACATCACATTAGAATTCTAAATACTTCACAAAATTATCCCAATAACAGTCAAGGGGTGATTATAGTGTCTCATACAAAATCCCACATATGCCAATTAATTCAAAATACATGTATACAATGACTATTCGCTCAAGTATCATCCATGGCAATGGATTCTCACCACTTATAGCGCTTACACACCACTATTCAGGTAACAATATGCCAGCCTACTGGGATCCAAGTCATATCAGTAACACTTGATTAAATGCACAATTGGATTCTTTTCCGCAACTTCCTTACCTTCTTGGATGACCGTAACTCATAGTCTCTGGGAACACTTCCACTCAATCTTTCAGGTACTTCTAACAGGTATATGTCCTTTCCAATGGTAACATATGTAATCTACAGACACCACAAGGAGACAAATTAATGAAGCACATAAGATGCAACGAGAAAGTTTTGGTTTTGAGTTAATAAAGTGTTCATTACCGATGTGATGCCAAGTAATTTTTTCTGTTCCACGATATGTCTCTTCAAATCAGATTCAATCTCCTCAATCTTTTTACTGGCAGAATCAAATTCTGCATCAGCTCCTTCAAGAGGAATTATACGACCTGTACTATTAGCATCCACCCAATCAAATGCATCCCTAAATTCCTTTATTATGGAACTCATATTGGGGAGACCTTTGCCTGCACATTACATGCTATGAATATCAGCACAGCATATAGAATGATTGAAATACAGGAGTGCTGATATGACAGTTTAGACAGTACCAGGAACTAACAGATGATGTAACAATTTAGAGTCAGTTTTATCCAGGATGGAACCTAGAGAAGAGCATGCCACAATCATAACTTCACAAGCACGTAATGCTGATATGAATTCTTGAAGCTGTTTTTTTGCAGCATCTTCATAAAGAACAATCTTACTTGCATTCCTCCCATTAGCTTCACTGCATGAAACAATTGGACCAAAAGGTGAACTTCTGGAACAGAAAATTGAGTAAATTTTACAGATCCCTGGATTGCTGTACCTGCTAGCAAAGAGGCGCATGAGCAACCTCTCCATGTCTGGCAACTTGGATAGCTCTTTTCGAAATTCAAGCGCCAATGATATATTTCCCTATAAAAACAAAAACCATGATTTAGAACCCATTTTTCACAAGAAGCAAAACAAAACAGTTCTATCAAGGATCATAAATCATAGTGTCAGTCTAAACCATGACTCTGAAAGATTTGTGGTTTATTAGTTGAAATTAACAGAGGAAATGTTCTCCTGCTTTATTTGCATCTGTGCATAACATTGTGACATAGTGTGTATAAGGATGTTAAAAGCAGAGAAACAAAAGCAGAAAAATGTATAATAATCACATCAGGCAAATAACACGGGGTATAAAAGTCATGATATTTGAGGAGTGAAGGACCATTCCAAATTAGAGACATTCATTTAGTTCAGGGAACATGAAAACGACACAGAGATTGTTTCATAATGTTCCCTCTACAACACTTCAAGCAGGACAAGCCATCTTAAAAAAAAAATGCACTTTAGATGACACTGATACCAAGATCTATAAGGCAGGTAAAATTGATTCATGTATCTAAACAAAAAAGGCATGAAGTGGACTGTAGACTTCATTACTTAGCACAACACCGGAAGCTTTCTATCCTATATGCTGCAGCAAGAAGCAGGTCATATATCCAAACTACGAAAACTGACAGCAAGTCTAATGAATAGCTGTAGTTTAAAGAGAAAAATCAATGAAGGCAATGCTTCCAAACCTATGTGCTTTAGTGGAATAGCCATGTGGACTTCATTACTATCAAGTATTGACAAATAAAAAGTAGCTAATTCTCCAATCTACAATACTGGCAATAACAAAAAGCATGAGGCATATATCTGTGACCAACAGATCTGGACTCACATCACATACAAAATTGATATTTAAAAGCAAAAATGTCAAATAAGCTTAAAAATAGCAGAAAGCAGAGCATACCCTAAGGCCTGCAATAGCATCTTGTCGTTCCCTAATTGACTCAGCATGATAAAGAGGCCTTGCTAGCCATGTTTTAAGCAACCTCTTCCCAAAACCGGTCACACAATAATTAAGCTGGGAGTACAATGTCCTTTACAGATGGGGAAAAAAATCAAATCAATCCAAGCCATATTTGCTAAAACCAAAAAAGATTTCAACAAAACTCAAAAGTGTGAAGGTACCTACCCGGAGGAGCCCCCGTTCTTACTGTTCTCAAATATTTCCAAATTCTCCAATGCAGCAGCATCTAACACCATGTAAGGTTTCTTAAAGACATTACAGTAATCGGAGCATGGGAGTGATTCAAATTTTGCATATCTAAGCAAATTTTCATCCAAGAAAGCCTGTTTCAGGTAGTAAAGGGTCCCTCCAAGGGCTGATAATGCAAGACTGCCATCACTTTCAGCACTCAACAGCTCACTTATGAGCTTTGGCAGCCAACATGACTCATCATTTATACTGGAGCTGATGACATCAGCTACTTCCTTTTGTTGTGAAGGAACCGGCGAAATATTGATGCAACTGTAGAATCTCTTGACTTCACGAACAGTCCTATCAGCATCCCAAAATTCCTCATTCGGAAGCAGCTCATTGATGAGGGGATTCCTAGTATACCTGGTAAGAGCCCTTTCAGTCTCAGGACTAAGCATTTTAGCAGGTTTAATAATCTCAACTGGCCTTAATTCGGATAGAAGACTGCATAAAGTACTGCACTCCAAATCATCCTTTATCTGAAGAAGGGAAAACGAGTCATGATAAATATAAGGGTACATTCAACACATTTTTGTTTCAGGTGGAGGGGAAGATAATTTAAAAGCAAGTTTTTGACCATTAGAAACTGAAATTTCAAAATTTACCTAGCCCCAGGAAGGAGTACTCTTATACAGGAGACAAAGGGTCCAAATTGATCTTAGTTCAAGGTAGATTAAAAATGCAAGGGGAAGGGTAATTATTAAAAACAAATCCTTAAAACTGGGTTAATAAATAATTGACTAAAAATAAGCATGCGATTGAAAAATGAAGGCATTATTATAACCACCACCACCACCAGTCCACCACCCATGAAATAGAAAAGCAAGTGAATACAGTAAATCAAGCTAATAGCAGTTTTCAGCAAATTGTTCAATGAGCAAAATTGGACATCTCCTGTACTAAGCTAAACCTACACCCTCAAAATACTTGAACAAAATCATCAATGCCATCATTAAATGCAAGCCCACACAGACAGATTAGAAGAAAATATACATGGAGCTTTGAGTTTGAAAGAGGAACCTGGCCAATAATTACTTGGCTTGTAGTGACATCAACAACGCACACACCATACAGGCGTTCTTCCTTATTTGAAGAAAGTGAACAACTTTCATTCACTGACATAATGTAAGAAGCTTCTGGATTTGCAGACAACATCTCTCCCTCCGTCAATGTTCCTTTTGTTACTACAGCACATATTTCTCGTTTGACTACCTGTATGTACAAATGGTTAGGAGTTAGACCTGGGTAATAAAAAGCTCAAAGCTATTAAACAACCCATCAACCAATCGACAAGAACAAGGGATTGTGTTGATGGCCCCAAGGGTTACATTTTTCATAAATATAAACAAGTTATATAAACACTACCTCCAGAAGGAAATTGGATATCTTGGCATTGCCAATCAGTTAGCACAATGTTAGCTCGTGAGTAGCTTACTTTCCCCTATAATTTCCTTTTTGTTTTATATTTTAATAGAAAGCATGTATCATAGCAAGGGGCATATAAGTGCAGCATATTAACTGATTGCTCAAAGTAAAAACCCTGAATGTCCAAACCTTGTCTTTCGAACCCTCTTCTTTGCGGCGCATATCAAGCTGGTCTGGAGTTTCAGTCTGCTCCACTACAAGGACTCGATAACCCTGCAAAGCCAAACCAGCCCAAATGAAATCATTTCTCCAGCTCAAGTCAGGTTCCATCAAATATATGTAACAACACATTTAAATTAAATAGATACACAACAAACCTTTCTTGCTAATTTCTCTACGTTGATTGAGAAATTCTTTTCAGGAAATCCACAATGTGGCTGTTCTCCCTGGTAATATGAACAATTTTCAGACTCTTGATAGAAAGAATAATAGACAGTGAGCAAATGATAATTATAAGATTGGTAAGATCTAATACTTTCATGTTGACTTCTCTTAATTTACTTGTTCTAAACAGGAACTAAATCCTCAAAAAATTAACAAGGGAATAGGAATGCACATAAAAGATAAATATAAAGCAAAATTTAAATACCCTCATGTACTGTAAATCAAGTTCTTTTACGCCAATATGTGCATCCATTTCAAAAATCTCGTAGAATTTTCCCATCTGCTACAACAGTGCAATCATAATCATTACCGATGTTACACTAAAATAATTAAAAAGCAGAAACCGTCACAGCATAATGTCTTGCGTATCAGATATGATTAATGTAATACCTTAAAGAAAAGGACCTTATCCATATGCTTCGATTTAAACTCCCACCATTGTCTCTACAAAGGAAATTACACCACAAAATCAAACAAGCTCAGCAGCAAATATTTATTACTTAGTATTAAACATTGTTAAATGTTTAGCATATCTACCTGGCCACCCGTCAGATTTTTAAGAAACTGAGGGGGCAAATAAAGAGTTCTGGGATCATAATCTGTATCACCAGGACGTCTCCTTTTGGCATCTTGTCGATCCCTATAAAAAGAGAAAGGGATTCACCATAGAATAAGATATCACCTCAAGAAAAACAAGAGGACTGGTCCAGCAACTTCCATCGATCACAGCAAAAAACAAAGTGCATTATCATTACACAACATGAGAAATGAAAACATGAAGCTAAGGATTGAACTAGCACATACTTTCCAAGGAATGGAAACTTCTGTTCTTCACGAATACCAAACCTCTCCAATGCATCAGTAGTGGTGCTGTCAACAACATTATGTGATTTTGCCTCTGCAGAAGACAGTTCAAAGCCAATAAAAAGGATAAATATAAAATAAAAAAAAATAAAAAAATAAAAAACTACTGGCAACATAAAGCACTGGCCAACACCGGACAAACAAACTAAATTGAATAGAAACTAGAAAGGCATTGTGCTTGTTTTGAATCTTTCAGTCAAGTTTTAAACTCAACAATCATTAAGCATAAAGAGAAAAGGCTTAGAAAGTCACAAAGAAAAGTAGGATCGTTGATTTTTAAGTTCAATAGTTCATCATTACACATAAGCATGCAAAATGCTGATAACAAGAGAGAATACAAGACTGATTATTCACATAAATACCGCAAAAAAGGGTATTAATTAAAAGCATTTGGAAGCTACAAATTATGCATCAAAGCTCAAATACTATACGTAGTATTTCATACTATTTGGGATAACGGAACATTACTAATATTTTTATCGAAATTTGTATATTCCATGATTGGAAACAATGTGTATTACTAATACAAAGGTCATAAGTAGACTGAAACCAAAACAGTATATTATTATTATTAATAATAAACCACCTAAGTTGAGGTACATTGACAATTAGCACTGAAATCTGTAATAAATCAAAGAAACCATATCTTATTCTAATTTGAAGAGGCAATATAATCTTGTTGCTGAACAGAACATCAAAATATAACATCATTTAGCAATTATATGAACTATATATGTCACAAAATCTTACATCTGATACAATTATTTTTTTAAAAAAATGAAATTAATGACAACGTAAGATAACATATATCAGCTCCATCAATTACCTTGAACATTGGCAACAGGTTTCGCCGGCTTGCTACCAAAAACACAAACCTCAACTTTCTTCTTCTTAATTGATTTCGCCGCCTCTCCACTGCCTTCCTTACCCTTCTTCGCCCCGCTCCCTCCAACCTCTCTCTTCTTCCTCTTCAAACTCCCAACCTCCTTTTCCTCTTCTTCATCCACCAAGTCCATCTCCTCCAAACAATCTTCCTCCTCAACAACCACATTCTTCCCCCAATCCTCGTCGCTCGAATCGTCCTCCACCAAACCCACATTCCCCTCTCCCTCCTCCTCTTCCTCATCATCAACCACAATAGACACCTTCCTCAACCTCCTCTTCCTAGACTTCTTAACAGAAGACCCTCCTTCAACTTCAATCCACTCAACCTCCTCCTTAGAAAGATCAATCATTTCCTCCTCATTATCATCATACTCCACCAAATGCTTCCCAGAAACCTTATCAAACGACTTCACACACCCCTCGTACCACGCCTCGTCTATCGGCCAATAAACCCTAATTCTCCGATTCACCACCTCTTCACCAAACAAATTCCCCTTCAAATTCACTCCCGTTGGAGTCGATTTTTGCGACCCAATTACCAACAAAGGCTTAGGTGTCGATTTTGACTTCGATTTTGCATTAATAGGAGAAGGGGTAGTTGGGGGAGATGACCCCGGACTAATATTAGGATTAGGGTTAGGGTTTTGTGATTTGGGAAATGGGGTTTGATTAGATTTAGGAGGGGATAATTGGGGTTTTGATTTGGGTAAAGAAGAATCAGCTTTGGTGAAAAAAGAGGTGATTTGGTATTGTTTGTTTACCAATGGTGATCTGCCATTGGTGACCTTGCGTGAAGGCGCCATTGATGAAAGTTTCGCTGTAAATGTTAGAGAGAGAGAGGGAAGAAGATAAAGAGAGAGAGAGAGAGAGAGAGAGAGAGAGAGAGAATGGAGGTAAGGAAGAAGAAATAGTGAGGAAAATTGCGTAAAAATGGTGGGAAATGGCGGGAATTTGACAGAAGACAGAGAATGTAGTTTGGCGGGAAGATTGTTTTGCTGGTTTCCGGCTTTATTTTTTGGGGAAAGTAAGAAACAAATAGTGTGACCTAGACCACCTAGTTAGTGGCTATAGAGTGGAGGAATGGCCTTAATTGTATTATAATCTCTTTTATTTTAATTCTTTAGTCACAATTCTTAAACCTAACCTTGGAATATCCCACACATTCAATTCATTTTGAGAAAATTTTCATAATTGAACCGAAATTGTGTATTATAACCTTTATTTTTGAATTTTTTTGGACCTAGGAAAAAATAATGTCAACATGATTTCCATAGATCCCAATATACCCCAAGAGTCCACTTGGGTGGGTGGAATCATCTAATTTGCCTTTAAATTGTCAATTTACCCGTTTACAACATATGTCGATTTTATTAACTCAAGGCCACCATAGACATTTATGACTACATATATGAAAATATATGGTTCCAAACGACATTATATAACCCTGAGAAGTATCCCCCTTAGTATCTTGATATTTTTTGACACTAGGTTCAAGAACCACTAAAATTGCTAAAAGCATGAATTATAGCCTTCAATTTTGGACTTTTTTGGACTCGGGAAAAAAATTTGCCGAGGTGCTTTCTATAGACCTATTAGACCCCAATACATTCCGAGCGTCCATTTGGATGGGTGGAACCATCGCTCTGCTATTATTCTAGCTTGCATAAAATTAGCAAGTTTGTCAAATATTGGATAATAAAATAAAATTGATTGTATCATATGTGTAAATGAGCAAACTGGATAACAAGAAACAACCGGTTGTATGGTAAAAAAAATTGCATAATCGTCTTATGAACTTACATGTATACTTTCATTCATGGTAGCATTTTTTTTTTTTACAATATTTACTTAATGATAACCGGTAATTAAAGATATTAGTTGATCTTATAATTATTTTGCATTACAAAATATATGATCGACTATAAAAAAGACTTCTTAGCCAATATTTAAGCGAAAAATCCAAATCAGCGCAAAAATTAGGCAAACTTATATTTCATAGATCATTCGACTTAATTTGATACACTTTTCACTCGATCACATTTTTTTTTTTTACGGGTGGTACTCGTAACTGAACGGAGGGAGGAGTAAAAATGCAACTACAACGGATAAAGTAAACCATAACTCTCAAGACATAACCACGCCAACCACCGTCATCGACTGCCCGCCGCACCCATCTAACCACCCGCCTCTCCAACAACACTTGACACTCTCACTCTCTCTCCTCTTTCATGGCCTACGAATGACTCTCTTCTCCTTAACTAAACGCCCTTTCACTTCCACCTCTTCACTTTCTCTCTCCTCAGCAACCTCCTTTCATGGCTCCCACCACCATTATTCGACCACCTTATGCTCCGCCTACAGTGCGGGACGATTACGACGTCAAAGAGGAGTTCTCTTCTTTCGATGGCAGCAACAGCAGCAAGTGTGCTTTCTTCAAGGTAGCTCTGTGCCCTTGTCTCGTTTTCATCAGTCTAGTTTTGATTGCTGTGTTCATCGTTTTAATTGTCAAGTTTCATCTTATTTGTCATCTTCCATTGCACTACCTGATTTACAAGAAAGATTGTTAGATTCGAAGTTAAGGGGTTGTAATTTGAAGAATTTTGAACATGGGTTTTCAATTTCAGTTGTTCCCAATGTTTATTTTGTTAGATCAATGTCATTCTCTGTGAATTATGGGGTTTCTTTTGGTGGGTTGTTGGTTCCTGTTTGTAATTCGAATTGGATATTGCCCAAATTTGGGGGTTCTAAAAAGGTGGGGATTTTGGGGTTTGGTGGTTGTTATAGGGGATTTTCTAGTTGTGAGGAGGAGAGAGAAAGTGATGGTGAGGATGATGAGGAGAGAGAAGGGAGTGAAGGTACCTTCGAGTCGAGTGCTGATCCAGAGGAAGTTAGTAGGGTGGCTAAGTTGATTGGTGAATTGTTCGCCTTAGATCGAAATATGGAGGCTGTGCTTAGTGAATCTGGGATTGAATTGAGTCATGATTTGGTTGTTGATGTCTTGAGAAGGTTTAAGCATGCTAGGAAGCCGGCATTTCGGTTCTTTTGCTGGGCTGGGCAAAGACCAGGGTTTTCCCATGATTCTAGGACTTACAATGCCATGTTGTTGATATTGGGGAAGACGAGGCAGTTTGAGACGATGGGCTCGTTGCTAGAGGAAATGGGGGAAAAAGGGCTTTTAGATATGGAAAGTTTTATGATTGCTATCAAAGCTTATGCTGCTGGTAAAGAGAGGAAGAAAGCTGTTGGGGTGTTTGAGTTGATGAAGAATTATGGGTTTAAAGTGGGGGTTGAAACTATTAATTGCATGCTTGATGCCCTTGCTAGAGAAAAGATGGTGAAGGAAGCTCAAGCTTTGTATGATAGGTTGAAGAGTAGGTTTACTCCAAACATGAAGACTTATTCAGTTTTGCTTAACGGTTGGTGTAGAGTGAAGAATCTTATGGAAGCTGGAAAGATATGGAATGAGATGATTGATCAGGGTTTGAAGCCTGATCTTATTACCCATAATATAATGCTAGATGGATTGCTGAAAGTTAATAAGAAGTCTGATGCAGTCAAGCTTTTCGAGGTCATGAAGGCGAAGGGGCCAACTCCAAATGTCCGGAGCTATACTATATTGATCAGGGACTTGTGCAAACATTCTAAGTTGAGAGAAGCTGTTGCCTACTTTGATGAGATGATGGCTTCAGGGTGTGAGCCAGATGCTGGTGTATATACTTGTTTGATAACAGGATTTGGGAACATTAAAAAGATGGACATGGTATTTGGTTTGCTTAAGGAGATGAAGGAAAAGGGTTATCCACCAGACGGGCAGCTGTATAATGCTTTGATCAAATTGATGACAAATAGGCGAATGCCTGATGATGCAGTTCGCATTTACAAGAAGATGATTCAGAATGAAATCCAGCCGACTATTCACACTTACAATATGATGATGAAATCCTATTTCATTGCCGGAAACAGTGAGATGGCTTGTGCCGTGTGGGATGAGATGGTCCAAAGAGGTTGTTGCCCTGATGAAAATTCTTACACCGTTCTCATTGGTGGGCTTATAAGGCAAGGGAGATCCGAGGAGGCATGTAAACATGTTGAGGAAATGATCAATAAAGGGATGAAAGTTCCAGAACTTGATTTCAACAGGTTTGCAGCTGACTTCTCTAAGGTCGGACGACCTAACATACTGGAGGAGCTGGCTCGTAAGATGAGGCTGTCTGGCAACTCTGAAGTATCTGAAGTCTTCGCAAGATGGGCTCAGATGACCCAGAAAAGAGGTACTAGAAGAGGCACGTTTGACCCTGATGCATAAACTTCATAGACATCTTATTATTACAGTGAAGATTATAAAGATTGATTGATATCCAACTGAATATTTCTACCACTGTAAAAGTAGTTGTAATTTACCTTGGATTGCCTATTATTCAGCTGACATTTCTTGTGAATAGTAGTTGAAATTTCTTCGTTTACACTGATCATAGGATTCTTGTTATGCTTTAATGCATATCTGCCTTGCTTAACTCATTTTGTCTTTAACATAACCTTCCTGGCTTCCTATGTCTCATATTCATGAATGTATGACTAAAACACATTCAAACTCTAAATATTCATGTGAATACACATTCAAACTCTAAATATTCATGTGAATGCATATTCATGAATGCACTTCTCCATTCCCCTACCTGAAATTGAATGGCTGCTTATGAAAAACTACACTGTCCATTGGATTTTCTGAATTTTTGTTTTTATTTTATTATGGATTAATGGTTTTTTTAACTTGATGGGAAGTTCTTTATATTCTTTTGTTTGCCATTCTCTATGTCCTTTAAGGTCATCTGCAATATTGAATTAGCAACTATTCTTTATTGACTGGAACCAACTGCCTCACCAGGCCATCATGATTATCATACATCTTATATTACCGGCTTAGCAATCATCCTTGTGTCTTATGCTTGGTGCGAAAAATCAGTGCTTTAAAATTCTTCTGCAATGGATGACTGGTGTGTTGGGTTTTTCTTGAGTAATTTAGATAGGCTTCTGTGTATAGGCGATGGTATGGAACTGTAGATGAATTACCAATTACCTCAAAGGCTACGTTTCATCATCATTTCTTCTCTTATTTGAACATTGAATTAGTCTTCATACTCATGGAAGGGAAAAGATGATGATGATGGAAATGAGCTGAAAACCCTAGCTATAGAGTCAACTGCCAGATTCATGCTTCAACCAATTTCACTATTCTTCCTGTATCTTCTGTGTTACTTCTCAGCAGTCTTTGCTGATGTTAATCACTAGTAAAATGCATTATTGCCTTACTTTGAGGAATGCAAAAGATATAAAACCTAGCAGTTGCTTCTATGTTTATCGTTATTTCTGTGTTTTGAGTTTTCATGAAATCCAGGACCAACAACGGAGAGTAAATGTGCTGCATTGTGCATTGTTGAAGCTAATGTAACCAAGAAAAGTGGCAGGGATCCTCCAATTTACGTTGTCATTTGTAAAAAGTTATCAGTAAAACTTATACAGCTTGAGCCTTCTGTTTATACAGAGCTTTATTCGACACTACTTTGACATTTCAAATATCATTTAACAGCAGTTGCTTTGGCTGTAGATTTTAAGACAGGGTCGGCTTCTCAATTGGTGCTGTTATCACGATGTGGATCTTTGATCAGTGGCCTGCTGAAATCAGCAACCTTTATTCATACAGCTGCTCTAGGGCAGGTCCAGTATACTGTCTAAGTCCCCATCCACTATATTGTCTTTAAGAACATTGTATGCTCGCATTCTTTGTTTTCAACTCTGGGCTAAAGACAGGTCTAAGCCAGTGTAGTTTGAGGCATACAAGATTTGGTTTTCGGATGGACTTGTTGACCATCTCTACCAACGAGTAACACATTAGGCAAAAGAGTAACATCAGCTTAATGTTAATTGTTTTTTTTATTTATTGGTAAGGAGGACCTTGTCCAGACCTCAATCCTTACAATTTGTTTGGTCTATTATTTGCAGGTCAGACACTTGAAACTTTGAAAGTAGAGAGGAGAGTAGTGTAGTTTATCCTTACAATTTGTTTGGTCTATTATTTGCAAGTCAGACACTTGAAACTTTGAAAGTAGAGAGGAGAGTAGCGTAGTTTAATGTTAATTATTAAACAAAAGGAATATTTATGCAATTTGCTCTCTTTTTTGTACGAGTTAAACCTTATAATTCCATTAAGCCTAAAATCTAATGAAAGGTTGTTTGTCATTCACTTTAAGTTTAACCATGAAAGAAGTAGTGAAGTACTCTGTCTTCTGGTTGCGTTGTACCACAGTCCATGGATCATGGCTAAAAGCCCAACTCATGAAAATGCTGATTTGATCCACAATTACTTCGTAAACCATACTCTCCCTAACTTTTCTTTTTTTGTACTATTATAAAATAAATAAATGTTGTTTCATCCATTTTTTTTAATGTACCATTTGGTTTTTCACATTATTCAAACAATATCTTTTGACCATCCTTTATTATTAATCTGTAAGGAAAAACACAATCATGTTTTAGTTGAGATCTACTCTGATTTGTCTCGATATCTACTTTTCAAATATTAACTTTTTTATAATTTTACTATAGTATAAATAAAGATATTGATTGTCAAAGTAACGTATTGGCAAACGTGAAATCACAAACGGTGCAATTAAAAAAGGGATGAAGTATAGTACTATATTTTGTATAATATATCGTTGGATTAGTTACAAACTATGTTTGGAATATAGCTTATTGGGGAAAAATTAGCATATCTGACCAACATTAGCTTAATGACTGCAATAAGCTAATTCGGAGTGTTTGGTGGAGAGCTAATTTATAGAAATTTTCCATTATATAAGCTTTATTTTAATTAGGAACTTTTTCATCGGCTTATTTATATCTTAATGTGAAATCCCCCATTAAATCTAAAAACCTATCTCAATTACCTACTCTCACAATTAGCTTATTGGTAATTTCACACACTCAAATAGCTTAAACAATAAACTATTTATCAGACACTTTTTATACAATCAGTTAATCAAATCATCAATTAATACAGTCTTCTAGTCTATATGTGCTGAAACAATCAACTTTAGCTTTTAGATTTTCACCGAACACAAGTATAACATCTATTTTAATGGTTTTATTTTTTTAGAGCAACTTTTACTAATAAACAATTAAAAATATTAATGGTCAAAGTTATGGCTCGACAATGTGTCGATCAAAGTGATGCAAATATCAATAGATGGAGGGAGTATTTATTTATGTTGAACATAACTTATTTTTAAAGAAATTATATGCTGAAATTGTTTTCTTTAAACTTAACCTTAACATATTTTGGTTCAAACTTATTTAAACAAAAGAGCAAAAAATAAAAAAAAAACCCTAAAATATTAGTATTTATAATAAAATAAACAAAAACATTTTGTTTTTGACGAATGATTGTTTAATAATATACAAAACTAGTATAAGTCCCGTGCAATGCATGATTTTTACAAAATTTTATTACGAATTACAACGTTTAGTTATTACTACAATAATTAATTTTAAAAATAAATTACAATAATGAACATATATAATAAAATAACTTTATTATACACAATACATTATACTCCCTCCGTTTTTTTTATTTGCATCATTTGCAAATGCGGCTAAGTTTTAGGAGAATAAATTTGGTATAATATAATAATGTGAGTGGATGAATAATTTATTATGGTAAAAGTAATGTGTGGACCATGAAAGTGAAAATATGTGAGAGAGAGTAGTGGGAACCATGTGAGAGAGAAATGATGAATTAATTTGTGGGGTTTAAAATAAGAGAGAGAAATAATAAAATATATTATAAAGTTACCATTTATAAAAGTGATGCAAATAAAAAAAACAACCTTAAAAGGTGATGTAAAAAAAAAAAAAAAAAATAAATTGAGGGAGTAACAATAAAATCAAGGTTAATACCCGTGCGACTTTTAGTCTCACACTTTGATAGGCACATGGTAATTTAATTGATTATTTGTTTCATTTTAAGTGAATGGTGGAGAATTTAATATTTGTTTTAATTTTATTAGTACTATTGTTATGATTATAGTCAATGGGTATTTTTATCTCATATTCCTATAATATTAAACAAAAAATACATAGTTATGTATAAATATATAATTTGAGTAATTTCATATTTAGGATTGCATATCTGTACTATATTTACAAAAAGTACAGATTCTTAAAACTTCATTTATTTTACTTTTCATCGAAAATTGTTGATGGGTTTATTCTTGAAAATAAAATACAAAGTACAACATATGCATATAATTAGACAAAAAAAAATAAATAAATTAAAGTCGTACTACTACTTTAATAATATGAAATAAAAATGGTAAGAAAGATATGAAAATATATATTGGTAGAACATATATGAAAGAAATTTGATGTCAAATATTTATAGAAGTAATATTTGGCAAATAAATAAATAAATAAATTTAGGCAAAAAAATTTTAATTAGAAGATGACACGTGTCATCCCAAAGTTCGCCTTTAGTATAAAGTTATAGACTGGTGTAAAAAGTAAAAATAATCATCTCGATCTCAAAATATATTAAAAGTTTAACACCCTTTCATATACTCCCTCTTCAAGAATAATTGATACAGTCAAACATTGACACAGTCATACATTGCACACATGTCCGATGTACTAGTTTGATCTTATTTTTATTACTCAGTAATTAAATATCAATGAAAATTAATAAAAAAAAAAGGTTATATTATGAAACTTCATATTAATACCTATCTAATAACATATTTTATGATAAAATATGTTTTTATCATGTTAATAAAAAAATTAATCAAAGATATCATATGAATTGTGAAAAAAGTGCAACTTGTCAATTATTCTGGGACAGGAAGTAATATTTAAAATTAATTTAAAATTATTTTTTTTCAAAATTTATTAAATTATGAGCATTATCATCATAATAATATCCAATGAGATATAATATCTATAATTTCCTTGCATAAAAAGAAAAATCTTTAATATCCAGTGAGATATGATATCCAATCAGCTGCTTTGTAATTGAAATATGGAATAAAAATCAAATTTTTAGAGAAATCTCACACAATGAAAAATCTGAGATATTTAAGCTGTAATAATTATAAAAGGGTCCTTAAAATTATAGAAATAAATCAAAATAAATATTAATATAGGGAAGGATTTCGTTTGCTTTTGCTACAAATTATTGTTACTGTAATAATTAAAGTAACAATAATTAAGATTGACAGTTCAGAATTTGGTATCTAGCCACATAAACATTTTTTTCCATACCCATTTCTGATATTCTAAATCTACCACAATACTCAACTAAAGCCCAAGAAACATTGATTTTTAACAAAATAATCCATTGAGATTGCAAATACTCTTTTTTTTTTTTGAACAATTTTTTAAGTACTTAATTAAAATAATTTATTACTTAATTTTTTTTTACTTAATTTTTAATTGCCAGCCGCACACAAAAGGTACTACTAATTGCTAAGGCAAGGGGTCCAAATTCCAGTTTTCCCTTGGTAAAAAATGTCTAAAAATAAAATTATATTGCATCTAAGGACAAAATTAATAGATCTTGATGAGCCGCTATATTACACCAAAAAAAAAAAAAAAACTACAAGAATCGTTCTGCATTGATCTTTTTATTGATGGTTACAACATAAATTCATCATTATAACTCAAATAAAATTTAAATTTAACACGATTATTATAATTGATCATATTGAATTCATTTGCTACTTATAACTTTATGTTTAATTAATCTCTTTCTTTTACCATGCAATGTACACGCATAGTTATTTCGATCGTGCCATTGCCTTGGTCAGATTGCTTATAAGTTGGAAATAATTTCCATCAATCTCTTCTAATACCTACTCACTCTTCTTTAATATTAAAATTATGGTGTAAATTGCGCCAAAAAAGAAAGAAATTCTAAAAATAATAATCGGTGAATTTTGAAACGATTTTCTCGCATAATTAGAAACAGACTTAATTATTACATACTTTTCATGAGGTAAATAGATCACAAACTACTGTTAGGTCCTGTTCTTTTGAGCTTCTGAGCAGAGCAAATTTCAGCAGAACAGAGCAGACTGTTAATACTAAGCAAAGAATGATTCAGTAGAGCATAGTAGATTTTAGCAGAGTAGACCACAACAGCTCAAAAGTACAAGATCTGTGCTCTTTATTTAGTCAAAATCGAAACTTTTCTACTGTGTAGTACATTTATTTCAACATTTACGTAAAGCTTCATGCACGCTTGACAAAAATATGCATCTCTATATATCATCTTCCATTTAATTGTAACATTTACATAGTAATGTCTATACTAATTTAAATTATCTAGAAACTAAATTCCAGCTAAATGTTGAATACCTGATATATTATTAGTCTGCTAATTATATTTATCCGATAAAGAAGCTACTACTCTGATCAATATAATATGACTTTATTATATCATATATACGTATACATATAATAAATAAGACAATTAAAAAATGCTCTAAGCTTGAATGCAAGGAGGCATCACTTCATATTATAAACTACTTCGTATATAATTATTATTACATATTACTAATTATTCCATATAATAAAAGAACAGACCATCACAAAAAGAGTTATCCCACCTACTAGCAAGGTTAATTTTGACATTTTAAATGATAACATTGGCTAATGGAACCTTAAATTTTATAAAATCTACATAAAATAGTATATAAATAGGGCATTAAGCACACTCTTCAAACACAATAACAAGAGCTAAAAACAATCCTTTAAATTAAATCCCTCATTTCTCACTTGTTAAATTAAGTTGCTATACATTTTTTTTATTTTTTTTGGCAATTCTCCTCTTCCTTTCATCTTTCTACCTATTGGTGAGTTGATCTTCTTAAATCCACAAATTTTGATTTATGTGGCATAAATTAATACATGATTGTCATAATAAGAGCTTTGCTATATACATTCATTTCGTAATATACATTTTTAGACTGATTTTAACTTCTTTTTTGTAAGGTAGTAAAAATTATAATTTCAAAGGAATTTTGACATGTTTTGTCAATACATGTCAACTTCAAGCTAAACAGTTTAACGTAAAAATTTATTTTCGAGTACATTTTCTTTAAACCCCGCATTAGTACATCTATTTTGTACAAATTCAATTTTAAATTTTGAAATCTTTCAAAAAGATCTTATAATTTTTCACATAGCGCGCGAATGAGTATGCACGTGCTTCACTTTGCAAGCTCGCGCACGTGCTTCACTTTGCAAGCTCACGCACGTGTCAACTCATGATCAATATCAAATGGATTTGGGTTACCAAAAAAATTAATTGGCCTTAATAATCTGATAATCCTTTTCTCATTCACGATGATCTCTTTTTTTTTTTGGATCCAATTAAGCAAATCTTTTAGCATCCGGAAAGATTTTATAAATTTTTTGGTGTGAAAGAAAATGTTTATATGAATACCTCTGATGATCATAACAGATGTATTCAAAATGATGAGTATACATTCCTTTTCATTGCTTTTCCCTCAAATCTGATTGATCTATTTGGATATCATGATTGACCCATTGTTCTGTATAAATATCCCATGTAAAAATGACATAGTTATTTTCTTCATTTATGGAGTGGGAAGAAAACAATTTGCAAATGAAATTTTCAAACAAAATTAGAGAGTACAATTTTTTTTTTCTTCATAGTTTATAAGAAGTCACAATAAGTGATGTCAATGAGATTCAATCTCAGCTCTTAAGTGTCTTTTTTCAAAGCACTAAAAATTGTTATCTTTATTTCATTCGAAGTTTCAAGTTTATATAGTTTATAATTATAAATAAAATATTTACTTATAAATTTTTCAATATATTAGTTTTCTTATTACCTTTTGTTTTCGGCCCTAAATACTACAAAAAAAAAATAAAATTAAGTTTTATTCCTTTGGGTTCAAAAACAGGAAAAGAGCACAATTTTCTTATTTTATTAGATTTACTAAGGCATAATTAATTGCGTCTACAAAAATACAAGGAACTTTGTTACGTTTATAAATTTGGATAAAACCCTCTTCATAATTAGCTCTAATTTCTTGCTGATTTGCTTTCTTCTTGATTTTTTTCACGCATCTATAACAATGGGATATAGTCCATCAGCAATTTGCAAGCTTCAATGGCAGAAATTCTTAAAGTAATCGCGCTGAGGCCCATTACTTTCTTTGCTCTCTTGGTAAGCAATACAACCAGAAAAAATTGAATTTAATGATTATTCCTTAGATATTACTAACTACATAAAAAGTTGATTAAAATGCTTTTTTTTTCGCACCTAAATTCATTTGTTACTAGATTGCTTAATAGTCGGAGAGAATAATCCTTTGCTCTATGATTATTTGAAATTTAATCGTGCTTTGTTACATGTTACATACAGACGTTTGTTGTGTTGTTGCTGCCTAGTGTCATCATCCCGATATGGTATCAGATGATGAAAAACATTGAGAAGAATGTAGGCAAGGAAGCAAGATATGCTAGTTACGGGCTAATTAAAAATGTTGAAGACGTAGCAAAATTAATTCCTCCCATAAATTCATCAGCAATTGATCTAGCAAATGTTTTGGACACTGATAATACGCGTGACAAACTTTTATTTCCCAATATTCAAAAGGAGGTTTGTGATCTTCCTTGTTTTGTTTTTGAGATTTGTTTTAGCCTTATTATTTTCTAAAGAGTACTATTTATTGTGGATTATCTGATTAACCATGCCAATTATAGCAAACATAGTGATCATACAAATAATTTATATCATGAGTAAATAATTCTCTATTGATAATAAGAATCACAAAGATATTCTATAGAAAAAATGAAAAAGAATCACACATACATTTCCCATATTTAAGTAACATGATTTATCTTGTATGTTTCTCTTGTTCGGTAAATTTAATACTCCCTATAATACAAAGAATTGTATTCTTATATTTAATTTGAGGTTGAATTTTTTGTTAAGATTTTGAAAAATGTCACTTTGTATTTTTTATCTAACAAACAAATATTTCTTATTTGTAATAATAAAAAGTAATCAAGCAATAAATTTTTAACAAGTGGTATGTAATAAATTCATAATCTCAATTACAATAATACACGCAGTATAATTTTCAAGATTTCTAGAGTAAATTATTTGTTACTGAGATATTATCAATAACTTTCCAAATTATAAGATTTTCTATTGATATGACAACTAAGGTTATTAGGATAAAATATACGTGGCACAATGGTATGAATAATATGTTATGTGAAATTGTGAATGAATAATAAGAAGTCAGCTTTGATATGTTATGTGAAATTGTGAATGAATAATAATTAAATTAGGGGTAATAATTTATCAAAGCTGCTAATAATATATTTAATTTAAGAAACTTCTCTAAACTAAAATGATTGATTTGATTGTACAATCACAGCCATTTGCTGTCTTAAAATCAAACTAATATTCTAACAATCATTTTTAACTCAAGAAAAAAAAAATGTCTTTTATTTTGTTTAAGTAATTTTTAAGGAGTATGAGAAATTTTGTTAAAGTATATACTACCTCCATTTCTGAAAGTTCGACTCACTTACTATTCATAAGGTCAAAATAAAATAACTTTGACCATATTTTATGATTTACACAATCAAATTAAATTAACAACCCCTATGATTAAATTTTCAACTATCAACTTTTTAAAAATTTTAATTATACATAGCCGAAGTTATTATGTTCAAAAATGTTCATTGGAGACTACGCAAATGCAAAGTAAGTCGAACTTTTGGGAACGGAGGGAGTATATTCTATTAAAAATCCAGAACGGTAATTATTTATTCTATTAAATTAAAGTATATATATTTCAACAAATCCCCTAAAAAAAGTTTATTTAATTTTGGTGGTACCGCCTTAGACATTGGAGGAGCCAATTTCATTTTCTATTGCTCGTCGATTGATGTTGCAAGGGTGCCAATGGTATGTTTTCTTCTTGTTTCACAATCCATATAAATTACATTGCCAATAATTAAATTCACGTAGTATTATGAAATTTTCATTTTTCTTGTAGGTATATGTATTGGCTTATCCCAGCAATAGATTAATTATCAATCTCCACAAACACGCGAAGGTGGAATTGATACTTTTAATTACCATGCTGATTGGCATGATAATCTCTGTGTTCGCGTTTGTCACCTTGGTTATTAGAGCGGCTAGGAGGGAAGTGCACTTGTGTGCAGCATACATGAGGGAAATGGAGAAAACAACACAAGCTGAGAGAAAGAGCATTAAGCAAAGCTTGGCCTTTGCGAGTGCTAACCATGATGTTCGCGGCTATTTAGCTTGCATCAAGGGCTTGACCGAACTCTCTGCTACTGATCTTCCTCCCTCTTCTCAAGTTGCTTCTAACTTGAGGAAGATAGATACTTGTGTTGAGGATCTTTTAGGTAATACAAAGTTTAAACATATGTATGCATACATATAATGTTTATTCAAGGAAGATTGTTCGTAACAATTAATTCATCCTTTTTTTATTGTTGAAATGCAGCATTAGTGAATTCCATCCTAGATTACAGCCAGATAGAAGCAGGAAAAATGCAATTGGAGGAGAATGAATTCAACTTAGCACAACTGCTTGAAGACGAAGCTGATTTACACCACCCAGTTGCCATGAAAAAGGGAGTAGAGGTGATCCTAGACCCTTGTGATGGTTCCATCTTCAAGTACTCCCTAGTAAGAGGTGACCGCGGTAAGCTCAAGCAGATCCTTGGAAACTTGCTAAGTAATGCAATCAAGTTCACTTCACAAGGGAACATCTGTATCAAATGCCAAGCAAAGAAACCGAGCTTTGAGAACCCTATTGTTACTTCGAACAGGAACAACTTGTTTAATAGGTCGTCGAATGATCTCAAAGACATGAAGATAATCAAGCAACATTCAAACTGCATGGAGTTTGAGTTTCTGGTGGAAGATACAGGTCCTGGGATCCCTAAGGACAAGCGTCGTATGATATTTGAGAACTTTGTTCAAGTCAAAGAAAATTCTGCTGGGCAAGTTGGAACTGGTTTGGGACTAGGCATTGTACAATCTTTGGTATGTATGTTTGGCATTAAAATTAAGTTAATCTATTTGCTAAAATGTTATTGATATTCTCATGCACCCATTTGAAAAACTACATATATTCAGATTGTAAATTCAGTTATTTATGTAACACTAATGAGGTTTATGAAAATAATTTGCAGGTAAGATTGATGGGGGGAGACATAGAAATCGTAGACAAAGCCAATGGCGAACAAGGGACATGCTTCAAATTCAACATCTTTTTGATAGTACAAGAGGAAAGTTTGGATAACCCGAGGCAAGAGTTGACAGAGCATAGGGACATCCATTCGGGCTCAGGGTTAAGCACGTGTGTTCGTAACCCTAGAGGTGAAAAGTCTTTAGTGGTTCTCTTGATAAAAAATGATGCGCGAAGAGGAATGGTCCATAGATACATGGAGAACCTTGGTGTAAACCTGAAGGTCCTAAGTCAGGGGAAGCAACTCTCTCCGACTCTTAAGAAGGTCAAATCTATGCTCATTGATCCTCCATATAACCCATCGTCAGGGAGGTCAGACACGAGCCCTGATCGCAGTGGTAGAGGTGGGTTCAAACTCCCTCCTCTCAATAACATGGATGGTGCCAATGAAGTAATTACAGTGAACAAAAGGTCCTCTATTCGAGGGTCAGTGAAAAGCAAACTACTTGTTATAGATTGCAATGCAGGGGATGAGTTTCAGAATATGCAGAGCTTGGTGTCTGAGTTTAGAAAGGACTTATACATGACATGCATAAAGGTAGTTTGGCTCGGTACGCCTGACACCCGCAGGGCTCACTTACAAGGTTTGCCAGATGAGAGTCTCCCTTCGACAGATCTTATTATATCGGAGCCTCTTCATGGGTCACGCTTATCAAGGATTGTAAACCTTCTTCCTGAGTTTGGGGGTGATTCTGTAAGATCTCCTACTTCTGGGAGATCAAAGAGATCCAATACTAGTGTTGCAGTTTTAATAAGCAACACACAGTCGGAAACTGAAGTAGACAACGGTGAGTCTAGTGATGGGGAGATCAAGCAAGAAGTCCCTCGAGTTCTAATGAGCTCTAGCAGTGACAAGTCCACGTCGATGACTAATACTACTCAAATGGGAGAAATACAAGAAGTTCCAAGGTAATGTAATGATATTAGTATATTCACTTACAAGTTGTGTTTGATTCAAAGAAAATGTTTTCAATTTCATATTTTTGTGTTAACAGGGATGCAGAGACCATGAAATCTCCCTTGGAAGGGAAAAAAATTCTGCTTGTTGAAAATCATATGTTACAAAGAATGCTTGCTGAAGCATGTGTTAAGCGCTTAGGTGCCGAAACTCAAACATGTGAAAATGGCAAAGAAGCTCTTGAGGTGGTCTGCAAAGCTTTGAGCAACCAGCCAAGTGGAGAACCCTCTAAGTTTCCATATGATTTTATAATCATGGACTGTGAGGTAAGCTACCCAAATTTATTTCTGTTCAACTTATAGTAATTCACTATTTTTACTAACCTGAGGTATTTTGTGTTTATCTCAGATGCCAGTGATGACTGGCTTTGAAGCAACACAGAAAATCCGAGAAGAAGAGAAGAAGTACGGACTACACATTCCGATTATTGCACTGTCAGCTCACGAGGTTGATGGAGAGGAAGGCAGGAAGATTGCTGAGGCTGAAATGGATTTCCACCTGACAAAGCCACTCCGTCGTGAAGAGCTTCTAAAAGTACTACAAAATCTGTTATAAACTAAGATAATTGTATCAATTATACATGTACTTTATGTATTAGTAGGTCCTTAGAAATGTGTCTGCAAAATCCTGTTATTTATTTATGCAGTGTGCTGGTACATATAGGCTTTCCAAAGTGTAATCCGAATGGATGTTAGTTTACTCCTACAGTTATATAAATATAAGCAACCGTTTTATGTTATGTTTCCCTGTCAATGCTAAACTTTAAGAGCAATATGCGCGACCGTACATCTGCACACGGCCCTTAAATACTTGATATTGAGACTGGTAAATGTTAAACCATTTTCAACAGATGGAGCTTCATCTATGTAGACACTATCTTAACCTAGAACAAATTATACATACTCCCCCTCATATGACTATACTTCGTTTTTTTGAGTTTGTAATTACTCCGTAACTCTTTACATCCCTTAATACTCTGGAGTTAATAACCTTTAACAAACAGCTACTAGTGGTTGTTAGTAAAGAAAAATAGCCAAGTTTGCCATAAATAATCTATGTAGCTCAAATAATTACTGATAAACGGTTCAATAAATAATCTGCATTGCTCAAGTTGTCAACACAATTATTCTTAATTTCAGTGTCAAAAAAATTGTGTTATTAATTAAAACCTAGAGGACCTTAAAATTTAAAACCATACAGTATATATTTCATATTTCATATTGATAAACATTCAACAACTACGAGTATATAAGATAATGAAGATACGAAGAAAAACAAATTCTGCTACTATTTAGATCAAAATTGTTGACAGTCACATTTTTAATTTCAGGATATAACAAATTGTATGGAATAACGAAAGCAAGAAGCAAAATTGGGTAAATATATTTATCACAAGAAAATAAATAACTAATCCAATTACTACTTTTTACTAGTGAAGTGAATACCGGCTTGGTTGAAAACCGATAATAAGTGTATGAACTCATTTTGTGTGAGCTTGGACGATCTTTTGTCTGCATAATCATACTGCTTCAACACATCTATCACCTTAGCTTTAAAATTAGTATCGTTTGCTTGCATATCATTATCAGAGTCAGCATCCGAACCTTCAACTTCCATTTCATCTTCATCGGCTTTTCCATTATCCACTTCCATAGTTTCATCCTCATTTTGATTGAGATAATCTACCTGGTCGTCTTTCTCATCGGCTAAGACAGACATATTAATTGCCTCTGAGTCGTTCATCAATTGTCCTAAAGACGCTAAGGTCCTGTAGTTCTTCTCTAGCATTTCAAGAACCTTTTTTTGACCAAATATTGATCCAAGCGTTTTGTTCTTTCGGCTGAAACATAAAGAGAGCAGCCCATTCCACTCTTTAAGTTTGCCAGCTGGTATAGGAAGAGGCTTTCTTGGTTCAATACGAACGACTGAGGAGTCGACCTTAGGTGGAGGTCTGAAATTATTCTTCCCAACTTTGAGGAGATGGAAGACGCGAGCAAGGAGCTGAGTGTTCACTGAGAGACGGCAATAGAGCTTGTCACCTGGTTGAGCAACCAGCCTCATCGCAAATTCTCTTTGGAACATTATAATTGCACATCTGAAGTTTTGCCTTTGGTTGATATCTAACAACTTGAACACAAGTGGGGAAGATATCTGGTAAGGGATGTTGGCGACACAGATATCAAAAAAAGGAAGTTCACACTTGAGAACATCTCCTTGGATAACCTGTTGGCAAAGAATGTCAGGACTTAGGAGGATACTCCTTATTATAATTGATTAAGATGCTGTTAAGTAAATAATCCATTAACTTTTCAAGCCACAAAATCAAGCAGATTTAAGAATCTAAAGTACTCTAAAGTCTAATCCAAACTAGTCTTGTTAAATGTTAACAATGCAATCTCCATAAAGAAGTAAACATCTTCCAATTCATAATCCAAAAATCGGCGCAAAGGAAAAAGAATACCCTGGGGCATTGGGCTACAAGCAGAACACATGAAAGCAATAGATATGCCAGTAATGAGCAGAGCATATTACTCTGTTTTGTTCCACATAAGGTTTAGGGCAACACAAGATTGTATATTACTCTTCCTGGCAATCAGAGGTGCATAATTTAACACATCAGTCATTACCATACACACTAATTGGAGACCCCTGGTGAGCGCGAAAGAAATCCATTTTATGCTGAAAAATAATGAATGAGGCTAATGATTATGTTTAATGGCTTACTCCTATTAAATTTAGGTTTAGGACAAACCCTAGTTGGTCTATGCTGTCTATCTCTCTCGGGTTTGCCTACAGCCAAACACAATTCTACAAAAAATATAGGAATGCGCGATTTATTTGGACTTCGGAGCACTACACCACTTGCACAGTACAAAACAAGTTAATATCACTTTGATCCCAGATTTCTGTGCTTCTAGAACCTAAATAGACCATGAATTACTATTTGCACATTCAACTTCTTTTACATAACTTCAATTACAATGTTCTTTATCTCCTTCCTCTGAAGCAATGAACATACATTCATTATTCACCTCGACCTCGAGTCCTCGACACTCCCAAATTCATCTATCTCTTAACTTTACCAGTTTACCCAATAGCAATTCATGAACAGCAAAGTTCAACTCAAATAGCACTACCATAAACGCCCGAATATCTTACACAATGATACACCATAAAAACTACAAAACTTTTTACTGAAATTCCAATTCATTCCTCTTCAGTTCTTGTACCCAATATTGCCTAACACTAAAGAATAGACCACCAAAAAATATGTGTACAACCGTTCAAATTTTGATTATATTACTCCCAATTTCGATGCATCTACAATCATAGTACCATAACACACACTAGGCAATACTTCCTCTAATTAAACCTCATAGATTCGTAGCTTTCACTATATTCAGAATATAAAATCGAATCGATAACAAACATGCCCTAAATCCCTAATGGGCTAATTCCCAATTTTGAGATTAAATTAGCATCACAGAGTTCCCATTCTCCTTATTTCTTCAACTAAAATATCATTCTTGCAATATCCCATCATGAATACAATAAATTTCCAAAAAAATTCAATTTTTCACCATAATCTATAATTTCTAACCTTAAATTTATAAGAAATTCAAGCTCCAAAAAATCCCATAAATCAAATAAGAAAAAAGATTAAATCTTTCAACAAAATATAAATTGATAATTAAAAAAAGGTGGGAAAAAGAACCTCTAAACGTGTAGACAAAGGGGTGCCTTGAAAACGGCGTTTAAGCTCAAGAACCATACGAGGATCCAATTCAACAGCAACAACTTTCTTGCCAGCTTCTAGAAGCTTCTTAGTAAGATTACCAGTACCTGGACCAATTTCTAGAATAACATCTGTAGATTTAATACCAGCTTTCTGAACAATTGATTCAACCAACATTGGATTTTTCAAAATATGTTGTCCCTTTGATTTGTGAAAGGGTATTCCTCCTTGAAAATGGTTGCTCCCTTTTTGCTTCTCTTTTCTGATTTTTCCGCCCGCCATTTTTGTGCTGTCAAAAACCTTCACAAGTTCTCAGTTTTCAGGGAGTGAAAAGGAAGGTTTGGTTGCAGTATGTTAGGGTTTTGAAACAAGGATGTTGGTGTTAAATTACTCCGTACATTGTTCGGGTGCCCCTACCCTTAAGTCCTTAATAATGCCCACTAATGATCTAATACGATCCATTGCTGCAAACAATTCGAGCCGAGTTTTAATTTATTTGAGCTAAGCTTGATAAAAATTATTCGTGATCGAACAATCTCAAGCTTGAACAAGCTTTTAAAACTGTTGTTCGGGGCTTAGTTCGTTAAGAATTTGGCTTGTTCGAACTTTGTTCACAAACACAGTCATTTGAACGATTTTAATTAGGCTTGATTAAATAAACAAGTCCTAATATATAATAAAAATAAATAAATTTCTTTTAAGTTTTAACGTATCCTAATTTTATATAAGATGTTTCCATTCTTTAACAACTACCCACTACTCGACCGCTAAAAGCTACCCGTTACCGCTACTTTTACCAAACAAGACCTATATATAGAAAAATGTAATGACTGTGTTTTCATGCATATATAAGATGAAATAATTAGTACTTTTTACAAATACATATGATTAAAAGATATATAAATTATTAAATTGTACCGAATTTTATTTGGCCGTCAAAAACTTATAAATGAACTTAAACGAATTGTTCATGAACATTATCGAGTTGATAATGACGTTGTTTGAGCTTTGTTCATCTATTTAAAACTTTTGTTTAAGCATGTTTTATGCTTAACAAACGAGTTTTAACTGAACTTGTTTGCGAGTAGTCCACGAACATAACAACTCATTTACACACTAACTTTTGATCTAATTTCTATAATACGACCATTTTATTTTTATTTTAAAAAAATATTATTTTCCATTATATCATTCACTTTAACAAATTCAACTTGATTTGTTTGGTTTTCATGGAGTGGTTTTAAGTCAAAAACACTACAACGGTTGGTTTGAAAAATATAAAATAATTATTGTAATTTTTTTTGTAAGGTAAGATGAAGGACCTTACTCAACCGACACCTCTCGAGTTAAGCCAGCTTAGCTCCGTAGTTCAATGTTTAAGACTAAAACAGGAGGTAAGGGAATCCCACTACTCTCGAGCTAATTGTAATTGGTGGAGCTTGAATTTATGACCTCAAAATCAAAAGGTGAGTTCCTACCAACTCCACCAAATTTGAAAAGTTATTGTAATTTGATCATTTGTTAAAATTACTAAGACTATATTCTTTTTAAGCTGCTCTGCTGTGTTGAAATTTACTCTGCTCAGAGCTAAAAAATAAGTGGATTGCTAAACATCGCCCGCAAATCTCCACATAAAGCCCACAAAATTAGAGTGAAATGACACTTTTGCCCTCAAAGTAAAAAACACAATTTCTTCTCTCTATTCTCTACTTCCACTTTCTCTCTCTAAAAAACTTTCCGAGCGATGTCGAGGCGGCCGGCAAGGAAGTGGCGACACCGGCGGCGGGTGGACGGCGGTTTGCCGGCGAGGAGGTATTTTTTATTAATTTTGTTTTTAAAAAATAAAAAAAAAAGTTTGGAGGCGGTGGCGGCGCCAAGGCCAGACGCCACCACCACGGCGGAGGCGCCAAGGCCAGACGCCACCACCACGGCGGAGGCGCCTA